ACTCAAATCTGCCGAGGCGTTAGGCTTTAGTTCGCCGCCTAACTAGCGCCTAGCGTTATTTATAACCTTCAACCTTGATTATGAACGACATTAATATTGCCTACTAGCTAAAAGGATTTGATTGTCTACAATTTTTTGGAACTTTTTACAGTTTTAAATTCCGCCTCTCCTCCTGCCTATTTTTGGCTTTGCCGTTGGGTAGGAAGGGCTTGCCCATTAGTGTACTATGCCAAGAGGTGGCAGGAGATCAACGATCTAGCTCAAACCTACTTAGATGAAGCAGCAAGGCGTATGAAGGGAGCGACGACCCTTGTTGGAGATAACTCCAAATGCCAAACCATGTTTCAACAGTAGTTAGTATATTGTTCCATGGAGCTAAGGTAAAAAATATGGAAGAAACATGTGTTTTCATGTTTTCACGACTATTGCCCAGTCAATTCTGTTCCACTTAATCCCTGTTTCATGGCCACATATCTTCCTGGCTAAGAAATGGGAAACCTTTCTCTTGTTCTCTTATTATAAGAATTCAATTTTCATTTCATCCGGAAAAGGCTTTCATCTTTTTCTCAACAATGTCTTTGTCATTTGATCCAATAGCGTTATGTTAGATAGGAACAACTTTGATAAATACAGATAACTCTCGAACAGATTTTACTTTAGTAGAGACTTGGTTTGGTATCTTTAATGGCGGGGGATAGACTCTGTTTCAAAAGGAAGGGGATTCTCACATAATGACGGTCAAGTACCAGTTGAGGAATATAGATATAAGAAAAAATTTGGCCAATCCGCAGGCAAGTTGGAGAAAGCGCTTGATGAGCCCCTCCAAAAGTGTAGTTCCGGTGCAACCACATATATCCCACAGAAAAGTTTTATTGTTTCAATGAAACAACCTTTCCTTTCCCTGGTTTGTTAAACAGATTAGGGGGATCTAGCTTTATCTCGAAGAGGAAACGAGTTCTCCTTCTGATCTGCGCGGGGGGTTGCTTCGATCAGTTATAGGGGTGGTCAGTAGGTAATTCCGGTTCTAGCTCTTAGTTCTGGAAAAGCAAACTTCAATGTTCTGGGTATCCTCTTGTAAGTCCTCAAACACCCAAAATGACCACCAACAGGCACTGAAAGTGTGCAACTCGTCCAATAATTTCTTTCTCCAATCGTTTTATTTTTCCTTCAGAAATTTGGGCTATAAGAGCACAATGCAAAGCTTCCTGTAAGGCTGTAAGAATCTGGAGAAATCGTGAGTGATCTATCAATTAACGGAATTTTTTCTACTTCTGATTTTGCTTTCAGTTTTTCTTTTTCTTTTAGTTTCTTGTCTTCCTTTAACCATGAGTACCCTATCGATTTCCCCTTTTGTTTTTTATCTACCATTTTCTCTAATTTTGTTGATCAAGATGTGCTCTATAGTTTCTCTATTTTCCGGTGTCTTTGAGATTCACTAAATCCAACCTCAAATGTTCGTCGTAATCATCTCAAAAATAGACACAAAGTGCAGAGCTTCGACTGAAGAGTTTGACAACCAATGCCGTACAGGATGAATAAGCAGGTCCACGTCGTGGAATTTCTTCTGCTTTTGGTTCCTTTTTTTTACCACTTTTCATAAGTGGAATTTGTTATCTTCATTTTCCAGTTCTGTTGAATTTATATTCTATTCATGTATTTCTTTTCTTTTGCAAGTTGATGCGCCAAACAATTAGAGGGCTCCAATTTTCGTTGTCAGTAATTGGCAAATTGGATCATTTGGTTTCTATTTCTGTTTGGTTCTCAATGTGGATGACTTGGTTTTGCTTAGAACATATTCGTCAAAATGTCAATGGTATATGACCATATGGAGTTACAGTGGTTTTGCCACTCTTTAATTCCCTCCACTTCCTTACCTAACAGTTCAATTGTTTGGGGTTACTTTCAATTACACTGCACATTTGAGGTTTTTTCTTAGACAACGTTTGCTTGATTTTGATTGGGTTTTCTAATGATTTCTTAAAACATTTTGGCTTTTTTGTTTGTACGTCACATTAGGGTTGATCAAGTGCAACAATGTTTTCTTAGACAACCTCATTGCTTATTTGATTTTTTTTATGGACAGATGATTCAAATAAACAAGGAGGTTTATAGCTTTATATTGTAAAATACTACTCTTATCACTTGGATTAAGGTGTAAATTTATGTTGTACTATGATCAAAGTATAGAATACTGTTTGTTAAATGTTGGTAAGTGTCCCATCTTCTTACAGCTTGTGTGCTATGACTTCTTACATTTTTCTATATACTTTGACATATAGGGACTTACCCACAAAAGAATTAGGTTATACCATTTACAATTTACAACATTGTTATTGACATATTGTATACTCTTGATTATTGATGTTGTACTTTTTGTGGCGGGACGTGAATATTGTAAGTTGTGGTAAAATACAACATTACAAAATCACAGAGGAGATATTCTAGTAAAACGTTTTTTAAAATCATCAAAGAAGAACAGCACAATTATAAAGGCTTTTCACCTATTCGGAAGCGCGTACAGAAAAATTATTGACTAATTAGTTATAGAGCACTGGTACCGTAGACTAAACGTTAATGAATCAAGTTTGTCTCTATCTGTATGGTATTTGACATTGAATGAAGTATGGTCTTCTATCGTTTAATTAGAAATTAAGGTATCGATTACAACTACGAATGACTGGATGTTTACTGATAAATTTAAAATGATTGAATAATTAGTGAACATGAATTGAAAATAAAAGATGGACGCGTGGTGCGATTATATACAATCAAGAGCTAATTTTTTTTATTAGAAAGTTGACCGTGCTTTTCATTAGGTATTTAAAAAAAAAAAAAACTGCACTTAATTAGCCCGGTTAGGAAATTATTCAGCATTGTCTCAGACTTTTTCAGCATTGTCTCAGACTTACAGGTGGCAAGTCTATGAGAAATGTAATCCCGTAAATGTTGAATTAATTGAATGAATCTTACATTTGTGTTATATATAAATTTGCCAATAAATGATTAATAACAAACCAAGCCTATCTAATCACACATAGGACAACAATTAGTTACATAACAGATAAGGATAGAATAGTAACTAGACAATGACAAGGCTGACTGTGTTGCTGAGTTGCACTGATAAGTATTAGTTGTCTTTCAAATCAATCCATTAGATTATTAATGAGTACATATCAAAATCTATTTAATTTGATTTCACTTTACACTATTATCACCATTACCAATCTCACATGTTATGGTGATATCAAATTAAACATGTTTTAACGAAAACCCATTAACAACTTAATATGTTGATTTGTCACCTTTCTCAGATTCATCACCTACAAGTATGATTTTGCCCTTCTAGTCTCATTTCCCTTATAACAATACCCTATCATATTAGCCATCCAGGTGTTTTACTCGTCCCTTTTAGTATTACGGTCTACTGATCTAATGATATTTATTTTTACTTGTAAATAAGAGGTTTTAGGTTCGATTATCTCCAAAGACAAATTTGAATCACATTATTGTTAGCTCATTGCGAGACTAAGCACACCTTCACTCGCTTAATGTAGATAATATCATTTGTTTAAAAAAAAAAAACATTAATTTCACAATTCATTTTGATAAAAGTCATGCTTGTATTTAGAGATTGAGTTTGTAAGATATAACGTTAATACGAGACCCAAAATAAAAATAAAATAAGAAATTTCAAAAATTGTCTCAAATCTTAAAACGCATATTTGACCCAGAAAACATCGTTATTTGGCTAAAAATACCCCATATGCAAGCTCAAAGCTATGTGTCTTGTTCATCTTGCCAGTTTCAGTGAACCGGCAAATTATGTCTATATCAGACTCTTATTCTGAGTCCCTCAACTTCGGAATTCACAAAACCTATTTCTTGAACCGGCAAGTTGTTCCATAATTTGGTCTGCTATCTATTCAATGTCGGATTATTGTTAAGATATTATATTCACACTCCAAATTACTTCATTCACAACTTTTAATTTTTTTTAATATTTTTTGACATTCTATACATCATTAACACTTGATAGAAAAATATTAAAAAAATTAAAGGAATGGGGGAAGTAATTTTTTTGTTTGTTTTCAAAGTGAAGAAAGTAATTTAAGATGGGAAGTGTTATTGGCACTTTAAAAATCTCATTCTACGCTTCTCACAAGTGTATTTTTCTTTCCTAATATAGAATGTTTGAAGTGTAGAATGAGATTTTTGAAATGCTAATAACAATTCCTTTTAAGATATGTGAATATAATCTTTCTTATTTTTGGGTTCAGCAACAATTTTATTGGGCATAGTGCTCCTTTATCTAGGGAAAATAAATAGTTTGATTTGGTGACTCGAGCTAGGATCAAGCAAATTGGAAAATAGAGAGTGAACTTTGTAAGCTATAAAAGTAGTTGACTTCAACGAGAAAATTAGTGCAAGACTAAAGGGCAATGAGAGCCCATGCACACAGTTTTAATCCTTGGAATAATCCTACCTTCAAGAAGTGGCGTTGCACCTCTTCACCAGAAAATTCTTATTCTCCAACATTATTAAGTACAAATTCATTGTTTATTTCTTTATATTTAAATAACCCTTAACCATGGTACGAGGAAATTGAATTTATTAGCATTTCGAATCAGAGTTTTCCCACAGTTACGCCTCAAATCAGGTGCTAAAAACATATATTATGAAGAAAGAAAAGCAACCGAGAGATGAAGGAAAGAGACCGAGTCAGATTCTTCCATGTGCAGACAAATAAACTTTCTCCCCAAGAAACACAGATGGAAGAGATATATGGTGTGTTCAGACATACAAAAACAGTTAGCCGAACTCTATCTCCAATTTTTAAATAAAATAAATGGAAAAAAGTCTTCCTGTGTAGTTGTCACAACTTTGTTTAACTTGTAATTAATCTACTTCCTACCCTTGATCAAGTATAATGTATTAATATCGGCCAAGTTTTCATGTTCATCAGCCAAAAGTTTGAGCAAAGTTCTGCCTTGTGATCACTCATGGCTACAAGTTTGATGATCAGAAACTCAATTTTCTTCATCATTTTTGCATGCTTGTGGAGTCTTCATGATGCAAGGGACACACTGAAGCCTGGGGACACTCTCAACTCCTCGAGCTCCTTAGTGTCTGCGTCCGGGAAGTTTGTTTTGAGATTCGTGGTGCAAACCATTGATGCTTCGAACACCAGCTATATAGCGATCCTGCGCGACAAGCAAGGCGCAAACAAAGCATGGATTGGGAACAGAAACTCTCCTATTCCGTACCCTTCTTCTCCACTTCTCACCTTTGACTTGAACAACACGTTGAGAATTACATACCAAGGTGGAAACCCTATTGTGATTTACTCTCCTCCGAAAAATATTAGTAGTACTAATGCTTTTGAGGCTATCCTTCTGGATTCCGGCAATTTTGTGATACGAGAAGCGAGCTCAGTCAACGGATCAACCAATGGGGTTTTGTGGCAGAGTTTTGATTATCCCACAGACACATTCTTACCAGGCATGAAATTGGGGGTTGACCGCAGAAGTGGCAAGAATTGGTCACTTTTGTCTTGGGCAACAAGCTACAATCCTGCACCAGGGCTTTTGAGCCTCGATTGGGACCCAAATGGGAAACAGTTGAGAATCAAGCAGGGTGGGGTGGTTAATTGGACTAGCGGGGTCTTTGATGATGGAAAATTTCCATTTATTTTTCCTGATGTGTCCAAGCAGAGGTACAATTTTGGCATCATTTCGAACGAAGACGAAGACTACCTCACTTACAGTGCTGTAGGTGACCCAAGTGATCCAGAGCCGGAATGGGTGCTATACAGCAGGGGGACACTTTTTGAATATGGTGCACAAGTTGCGATCACAAAGGCACAGGACTGTGACGGATATAACACAGTTGGAGGGTGCGTGAGAAGGGGCCGGCCAAGCAATTGTACGGGGAAGTTTGGTGATGAATTTGTGCAAAAGAATGGATACTTCAAGATCAAAGACTCTAGTAATACTTCAAGAGCCATCAGCTGGTACGTTGTCAGTAGTGTTGATTGTAAGGTTCTTTGTTGGAAAAATTGCAGCTGCCTTGGTTTCGACACTCCAGCAGATAATCAGTCTAGTGGTCCTGGATGCCGATTTTGGAGTGTAGATTGTGAGTTCGTTGAAAATCGCACTGGATCAGGTAATACAAGTAGTGTTTTTGTTTTGTCAAGCCTAACGATGCCTCCAAATTCACCACCTGCTAAGAAAAATGGTACGTCCAATTTGATACCTAAACTTCACACAAGACAGTTAGCTAACTAATCGTATTATATATAACTGAATTCGTAGCTAATTAATTGCAGTAAATTCAGGACATAAGTGGTTATGGGTTGTCATTGCAATCCCTACTGCACTACTATTAACGATGTTTTGCATATTCGGTTATCTACTAAGAAGACGAATGCTTTTAGGTATGTTCTTTAAGCCTAATATACACTTGTTAGACAGAATTTCAGATGTTTGATTGTTGTACTAAATTGCTAGTATGACTTTCTACACTAATTGAAATAGGTGGGGACAGAGCAAGGAAACAGAACACATGGCTTTGCTTCTTGAAATCTGATAAACTTACTGATGAACCTGATCAAGAAAACATGGGAAAACATGATTTAAGCGTGTTTACGTATGAATCTGTTCTGACTGCCACTTCCAACTTCTCGGAGGAAAACAAGCTCGGAGAAGGGGGATTTGGACCTGTTTATAAGGTAAGGCCTTCAATGACTAGATTGTAGTGTCTGCTATATTCTTTTGGAAACAACTGAGAAAATTATGGATAATCAATTCAGGGAAAATTGGTGACGGGACGAGAAATAGCTGTGAAGAGGCTTTCAAAAAGTTCGGGACAAGGAAATTCGGAGTTTAAGAATGAATTGATACTCATACATGAACTCCAACACACAAACCTTGTTCAGCTATTTGGATTTTGCATTCATGAAGACGAGAGGATGCTGATATACGAATACATGCCCAACAAAAGCTTAGACTACTTTATTTTTGGTTTGGAATCAATACTACTTTAGTCTTTGTGATTTTATTTGTTTAATTTGTGAGTGTAAAAACATATTGAGTATTGTTACTTAACTCTCTTTAAATTGTGACAGATTCAATCAGAGGTATGCTACTCGATTGGAAGAAGCGTTTCGGTATAATAGAAGGAATCACTCAAGGATTGCTTTACTTGCACAAATACTCGAGAACGAGAGTAATTCATAGAGATTTGAAAGCTAGTAATATACTACTCGACGAAAACATGAACCCTAAAATTGCAGATTTTGGCTTGGCAAGGATATTTACCCACACTGAATTGGAAGCAAATACTAGTAGGATTGTCGGGACACTGTAAGTAAATGTGTATAAATTCTTAATTGTCATGGCTTCTGCTTTTGGTCGTTAAGCATGTATTTTTGTAGATGTGTACTGATTGATGACTTTTTTCTTTTCCATTTTTTCCAGTGGTTATATGCCTCCTGAGACCATTGAAGGAATCGTTTCTGTAAAAACCGATGTCTACAGTTTCGGGGTGCTAATACTTGAAATCATAAGCGGCCGGAAAAACAACCGCTCCTGCAATGATGATGGCTTACTCAATTTAGTAGGATATGTATGTAACCTTTTCTAGCTGCAGACTATATTCTTGTTTTTAAGGTTGAGCTGTGCTAGGGATGGCCACCCAAGCGCGTCGTTGATGGTTCGTGGGACCTCACTTCCATCAACGGTGGTTGTGAATGACTGTCAGTAGCATTTTATTATTATGATATCCTAACTAAATGATCATGTTAACATTTTTTCAGGCATGGGAGTTATGGAAGGAAAATGCAGCGCTAGAACTAATGGATCCAACTCTAGGCGACTCGTGTAACGGGAATCAACTGCTAAGATGCATCCATGTCAGTCTACTGTGCGTGGATGAAACCGCAGCCGATCGACCCACCATGTTGGATGTGATATCGATGTTGACAAACGAAAGCATGGAGTTGCCTGAACCTAAAAAGCCGGCATATTACACACAAGGAAATGTGGACTTTACTGGTATAGGTGAAACGGGAGGGCAAGCTGGATCGATAAATGTTTTGTCTAATTCCGACATTGGTGGGCGTTGAGAAATCAATCAACAATCCTGTAATAAAACATTGTTCCCATTGATAAAGTAGATCTGGCAACGAAAACAAAAATCATCGATTAAGTGGAATATTGTATAATATATTTTGCTGATTTCTACTTGAAACTAAAATTTGTACCCGCGCGTTGATGTGGAATTGAAAACTATACGAAAGAGTATGCAATTTCAATCTTCATAAATAATGTTTGAGTAAAAAAAACTGAGTTACCAAAGCCAATGCAAATTATACATCACTCCATCATGAGTGAAACAAATTTAAATATCAAAAGAGAAACCTATTTCGTCTATTAAAAATATTACGAAGTTCTTTGGATACGAAAAAACACAAATTGCTTCATGTCCAAAAACATTAATGGGAAATGTTGTTTACTGCAACACTAAAAGTTGTCCCCTACTATGTTGGTCATTAAGGAAGCATCCCAGGCAAGGGAAAAAAAATTGAAATAAATTTATAGACAATAGAATTATATCATGAACAAAATAAGGATAATGCGTGTTTACCTAGTGTTTTTGTGTACAGAAAGAAGTCTGATTTTGTGTGAAATGGAGATGACCTTCTCTAACAATTCTATAGGACGCGATCAAACTTTTGTGCGTTTCCAACTTGCCTTGCAACCAAGTTTCTACAAAAACAGATCGAATTCAAGAAACTAATTAGACTAAGGCATAAGAGATTATAAGAAAAAGTATAGAAAATATAAACCACATATACCACTTAGTATACTACTTTGTATTCCGAATACACCTAAATTCTATTGCCATGGTTTCATCATCCAATTTGTCAACCATCTGAAAAATGAAGAGAGAGTATCTACATAAGTAAAATCTGAAAAGTAATAGCAAAAAAGGAGTCGGTTGTTTAAAACAACGATCTAGCTAAGACAACATCCATACTTGCATATAATTCACAACTTCTGAAATAGAACAGTGTTATAAGGAATTTCCACCAAGTTCCTTTTCAGAGATCCACCAGTCCCTCTCAAAAATCCCACTTCAATGAAAAGGAAGTTAGACCACACTATAAAATGCACTACTCCAGCTTTTTTCAAAAATGATATTCTAAGAAACTAAATGCTTGAAGAACCTAAGAAGAAGATGATATATAAATTTATACTAAATTGTAATATTAAATCTACATGTACTAAAATAAAGTTATTGTAAATGCCCAAAAATAAATCTAAACAAAAACTTGAAACTAAAAACCAAATGGTTATCAAACGACACCTAAATGAATACACATTTTGGATTTATTAAATGAAGTTTTTCAAGACCTTCAACTTAGTGAAACTAATATACAAACACTAAAGAATAATATCGCATAGCCTTACCTCAATCTTGTCAAAATTGATCATGACACCCCCTTTTGTACCACATGGAATATCCCTTACCTACAATGTTGCTAACAAAAGCTTTCAAAACTATAATGAAGGGAAAGACAAAATCCTCAATCTTCCAAACATGGATTACCAAAGTTACCTGATCAGTCTACGAGGTCACTTGAACGGGTTCAAAATGGATGACTAGAGGCAATTTGAGATGAAAACCTGAAATTTGAAATAATGAGAAGCAGACAAATTTAAGGCCCTATGCAAGCAACTTCTCAATGCACATCACATCGATTTGTAATTGTCTTTAGAAGAGCACCTCCTCTCCAATATACCCCAAAATGACCTTTTGGGACTTGGTGCAGAATTGATATCAGTCCTTGATTGATACCCAGGTTCTGGTTCACAACTAAATTTATTAGTATTCACATAATCATGAGACACAATTAGATTATTAGGTTCACAACTAAATTAAAAAAATCATTCACATAATCATGAGACATCATTCCAACTCATTTCATAAACCCAAAAGAAAATCTAAAATGAAACTATGATTTCCACCACTAAATAGCAAAAAAAAATTCTAAAGTTTTAAGAAATTGGGAGCCAAAATTCCATAATTAACCAAAACAAAGAAAAATATCTAAAACCCAGATTTGAAAACATAGAAATAAACATACATGCCACTCGCCATTTCAGTTGCTTCTGGTTATGTAAGGTTATTTATTTGACTGCTGTAGGGTATACGAAACCAAGCGTAAATTAATGGAGCATGTTCAAAAAATAACCCAAATGAAAACCCAAAAAATCAGAAGAAAGAAGACCCAAAAAAATAAAAAAAATACAGGTTCCTAAATTTCTTTTTGAGGTTTTATCAAAAATTTGTAAATCAAAATCAAATTCCAATCCAAACTCAAATTGCAAAACAATCAGAGCATACAAATTTAATAACCCAAAAGGTTAATGCAACCAAACCTATACTTGAGTACGTCACGCAACGTTTCATTTGGGTGTGCAACATATGCTTCCCTGTAAGAAACAGCTTTCCGCATGCGCTTCCCACGACCAAGAGCTGCTTCTTCCTCACTTCGATATTTCTCCCATCTACAAATCCAACAAAATGCAAATAAGCCCGTAATAAATCAAGAAAATGGGAGATGGAAAGCACTTGGTACACAAGAAACCTCATCAGAAACATTAAAGAATTCAACCTCCCCTCGAAATCCAGACGCCAACTTCATCAGTTCCTCCTGATTTCCAGAAACCAATCTGAACCATGCAACAATCCTAATATAGAAAAGGAGGGAGAGAGTAGGAGAAGCAGCGATCTTTTAATTTTTTTTTTTATTTTTAAATTAATGAAAATAGTTTGAAAACTTTAAATGTAATGATAAAGATAAAATAAATAGTATTACGATTAATTTTTTAATGTAAAAATGTAATTTTATTTTAAAATAAATAATATCTAAAATTTTTGGTTAAATTTTTTTTTTAATTTTTTTTTTTTTTTATGAGATAAAGCGGAAGAGTCGAGAGGAAGTCGAAGAAGAAGGTGCAGCGATGATGGACGCGTGGGTTAGGAGGACAAATCCATATTTTTGCTGTGTAAAATGAAAAGAAGTGCTGATATCAAAGGAATTGGAGGGCATTTTCGTCCTTACACTGTTAATGAACAATTTTGCCCATTTTTTAACTCGCATAATTGTCTTGCACGTTAGCCATCCACATCGGGGAAGTAAAAATAATGGGATTAAATATGATTATTCCATTACTTTAGTCTGAAGTAGAAGTGAACGGCACTGTGCAATGTTGAGGTAGATTTCATTTTATTTACGAAATTACCATTATAGCTCCTTGCCCCCTGATTTCACCTAATTTGCAAAATTGCCACTGGGCTTGAGAAATTTTTTATTGTGTTAAATGACTAGACTGCCCATCTCATCTTCAGATCCCACGGTGAGGATGGAGAGATATAGGGGTAGAGTCGTCTTTTTATCATTGGGGTTTCAGTTTGGGGTTAGGTTCCTTCCCCTTCACTTCGTTCTGTCGTCGGCACAGGCAAAGCCATGCCGATCCTGGCATGGGTAAGTGGGAGGGCGACAGTGAGGGAAAGTGAGAGTGACAGTGAGAGAAAGAGAGATTTCAGGGATTTGGGGGTAGGGAGAGTGATCTCAGGGATTGGTAATCCCATCCCGTGTTTTCCTCTCATCTCTGTCGCACTCAACCTCTCTCTAACCCTTTCTCTTTCACTCTCTTTCAGACTCTCCCTTTCTCCCAACTCTCCATCTCTCTAAACTTTAGTCCTAACCCTAATTTGTTCTTTCATTCCTCAATTTTCTCCATCCGAGGAATGAAAAATCGAACTGGGTTTTCAGATTATTGATGCACAGGGATTCACGGACAGAGAAGGGAGAGAGAGAGAGTGTGTTGATTGAGGGAGTTGGTGAGTATGGGCTTGCACAGAGGGAAGAACGCAGAAAGAGAGAGAGAGAGAGAGAGGGAGAACGATTGCAGAGACAATGAGAGAGATCGCAGAAAGAGGAGGATGACGAAAATTGAGGGGGAACCCATGTCTGCAGAGAGTGAGTAATTTCTGAATCAAGGAACCTTGCGTTTAGAATTTAATCCTAATTTTTTTCTCTCTGCAGGACAAAAAACTACCAGGGAAGGAAGAGACTGCCAGGAAAGTACAACCCAGACCGGAGAAGACAAGCAATGGCGGAGGAACCAAGGCTGTAGATCTTTGATAAAGGGTATAAATCCTTTTCGTTTCTGGTAGTTCGCCCTCACCTAAAAATGTGATTTGCAAGGTTTTCCAAAATAACAACATTCAAAACAGTAGAGTGGTTTCACTTTTCACAAATTTACATTGGTTGTCATCTGTAAATGTTATACAATGCTGAGTTCCAAACTTTGTCTCTGACATTTTAGTGCGTTTTAGATAGAATGCAGTTATGGATGTATTTAAAATATCATGGGTTAGGGGTTTTAAGAAATACCCAAGTTCTATAGTTTAGTGCCTTTGTTCTTTTAGGATTCTTCAACTTTGATTTGGATCAATTTTGGGTCTGCATGTTGTAATTGTGGTTAAAATTCAAAAGTTTTATAAATCTTTGATTGATTGATCAAGTTTACGGTATAAATGAAGTTTTTGGATCCGAAGCGGTCAGGATGCTAAGTTAGGAAGGCTTATTTTGTCCTATGGGTTTGGGACGGATTGGGATGGGTCTAGGTGGCTGTCATTCGATGAGGGTTTGGTGAATGAGAGCCATGCTGCCTTTGCAGAGAGAGAGAGGGAGGGAGGGAGTAGTAGGTTGTGTTTTATCGTCTTCGCTGCACCATGAATTTGATTGGCTATCCCTGAGTATGTGTTGTGTTTTATACTTTTTCTTTCATCTGGAAGATGACTTCTGATTCCTATATTAATGAGATACAAGTGAAACGGTTGTTAATATTTGGGAACCAACAGAGCTCCTTATTTTGGGGGTTTGTTTATGATTTTGGCAGGAGAACGATTTGGAGTAAGTGACTCACAAAGTTAAACTTCGATATCGAAATTAATGGAAACCCATTGGTATGATTTCTTCATCTGAAATTTTTGATTGCCCAATTGGTTGTTTCATCAATTAATTGTGTGAAAACATATATGTGTAATTTTTTATTTCTTCCAATTAAATGGTAAGATCAAATTAAGCTAATAACTTTTTGTTTTGTAAATGTTGTGTAATTAAATTATTCATATTATCAATTAATTTTTAGCAAACATTTGTGGGTAGTTGTTAATTTCCTTCAATATTTGATAATAATTCAATTAAAGCTGAGAACTTTGTATTTTGTTCATCACCTGCTGTAAATGTTTGGCTATTTTGTTCATCTCCAGTTTCTTGAAGGCAGGAATGTCTGGTATTGCTCACCTACTATGTTTAATTTTCATTGTTCATCTGTCTGATTATGCTTTTTATTTTTGCTATCTCCCTTCATCGATAATACTTTAGTAAAAGGATAATAAACACCGTCTAAGACTTATGTACCTTCGTTTTGGCGGTACAATTTCTTCATTGTGAAGATAATACTGTGATTGTTTTGCTTCTGGTAAATCTTTTATCTATATTCCGTCTGTTCCAATTTGAATTCCCTTTTTTGGATTTTATATGCCGCTGATTTTACTAATTGAAGTATATAATTCCTTTCACACCCTCCATGTATATGTGGTGGCACGGTTTGATTTTTCATGGAGCGATGCTCAGTTTCACCAAGAGACATTGTGTGCGCACACACATGCTTTCGTTGTTGCTGTCAGTTGTGGTGCTTTATTGGGCTTTCTTGGCTAAAAGAGTATTTTTGGTTGCTCAGTTAATAAATCTGAGATTTGTTAGCACCTGTGACGCTACTGTTATATTTTGGGTACGTTTTCTGTCCTTCTGCTTTTTTCCAGTTTGGGGATGCACTGATAATTGTTGGATTAAAATGGATTTGTATTTTTGGGGAAGAAATGAGAGGAGTCGTTGGAATTTTAGAAAGCTTTGTCTTTCTGCCTTTTATGTGACAAAGGGAATACGGACAGGGAGAGGAAGAGATAAAACATTAGTTTAGATTGCAATTTTAAAAGTTTTTGTGCTGTTATTGCTGGAACCTATGTATTTTGTTGGGAAATTGATAATATGTAAAGTTATTAGAATTTTGGAAAGCTTTGCCTTTATCAGTTTTATCTGCCAAAGGGAACACAACTCTTACATATATGATTTCAAGTTTTTCCTTTAGAAATTCAAGCTCTGTTGAATACATGGGGTGTAAGAGTGTTTAGGACAAGTTTTTCTGATTCCTGAAGAAAAAAAACATGCTTATGAGTAATTATATTTTAATTTTTATTGAATTCAGGTAGCCATCTTTAGTTTTTTTGCTTTGATTTGAAGAATTTCTTACCCAGGATTTGATCCTAGCTATTGATAAGAGTCAGGTTTTATAACTCAAACCATTTCCATTAACTATTTGGTAATAGGATGAAGTTCATACATATAAAAGTGGTTTCCTAAACAATGACATCAAATTTTGAAGTAAAAAATCTAATAACATTACTATACTTTCAGTTTGATTCAATGACATCAAATTTTGACGTAATAAAAAGTTGTTTTGCTTTGATTTTACAAAATTCACTGATGTACTCATCTAATTCTTAAATTTTCAGTCTTTTTAATGATTAGTTTGGTATTTGGGCAGCTTTGATCTATCATTTCAAATATGTGATTTTGTCTAATTCTTTATGATCCTCAATTTCTATTGTCGTTTACAGTTTAATGGACATTCTTGAATGACTTTGGTTAACACCAAACAAATGGGATGTGTCATATTTTTCTTTTTCTATTCCTTTACTTTCATTCAGAGTTTTGTTTGAATGCCATCATTTTCACAAGCCCTTATACACCCTTGATTCAAACTTCATCATTCTTTAAATATCTGTATATATTATGCTCACACGTTTTGTAATCCCGCAGCAACGTTCGGGCACTATTTCTAGTTATAATAGAATTGCACGTCAAGTATATCTTAGATTGTTGGTTTCATACTCACCTTCCCCTCAGCTATTATAGTCTCTTGACTGGATGAATTTTTATATTTTCTTGGATCTACGGTTTCAATGCTTTTTATAATTTCCTAGATCTATCTTTTTTGTTCATTCATGATTATGTTGAATGTTTTTCAGGTTAAATGTGTCTTATTCATATAGTTAAGGCTAGTGTAGTCAAGTCCCGCAGCATTGTGCAGACATATTACTAGTTATAACTAATACCGAAGCTTTTGTGATAAAACTTCACATCTGACAAATTAGGCAAGTGGTAATTATTAAGATGGATGTTGTTAGAGAGGGGTTCCCGGCCCGTCGACTTGAAAAATTCAACAATGCACGCCATGTCAATTTCTGCCAAGTTTCCATCATCATGATCTGCAGAAATTGAATTAGGGCCGGCCGCGGGCTGTAGGAATTTTGACAAGGAAGAGAAGAAGAAAAACTATAAATTTCGAAACCTGGAGGTTGGCTTCAAAGGAGTTCAACTGACAATTAACTTATAAATCCATACAAGGTCTTTTCTCCCACCATTATCAAAATCATTCTCAAAATTAGGAACAAAACTTTTCGCTTTGCACGTACACATATTTTCTCTTTTACTTTGTAATATTCCTCGTTCCATCAATGTGTTGAGATATTATCTTCAACCGTATCTTGCACGGCTCCTTACCGTGGTGGAGATTAGTCTTCTCTTTTAGTCGGTGAATGTTAAGTCTTCTCACCCCTAAAGACTTGCACAGTTATGCTTTGACAAATGTGGCTTTATCATAAAACCCCAACAACATTAGTTATACATTAGTATATTTTAACACCACCGTCGTGCTCGTTGATCATGGCTATCATCAACTCAGTTTTCTTGATCATTTTTGCATGCCTGTGGAGTTTCCATGATGGAAGAGACACGCTGAAACAAGGTGACACTCTCAATTCCTCAAGTTCCTTGGTCTCTGCATTGGGCAATTTCACATTGTCTTTTGTTGTATATTATATAGACGGTTCCAACTGTAGCTTTCTAGCTATCATGCGCAACGGAGCTGCAAATAGAGTATGGTATGGCAACCGAGACGCGCCTGTTTTATACCCTTCATCCCCACTACTTACCTTGGACTTCAACAATACATTGAAGATTTCCCGGACAGACGAAGATCAAGATCCTATTGTGATTTGTTCGGCTCCACATACTAGTAATAATAATACCAGTGTTGTGGCTACCCTTTTGGATTCTGGCAATCTTGTACTACAACAGGTGAATTCTGTGGACGGATCGATGAACCGGGTAATTCTGTGGCAAAGTTTTGATTATCCCATTGATACCTTTCTTCCTGGTATGAAATTAGGTGTGAACCATAGAAATGGCCACATTTGGTCTCTTTCATCATGGTCAGGTATCTTCGACCCAGCTCCAGGGTCTTTCACCCTTGATTGGGACCCCAACCAAGGGCAACTGAAACTGAGGCGAAAAGGGGTTATTTTTTGGACTAGCGGAGTCTTAAAATCAGATGGGAGATTTGAATATATATCATCCGATGAATCCATGATGAAATATAAATTTAGCGTTGTTTCAAATGAAAATGAAGACTACGTTACTTACACTGCTGCAGAAGGTGGCTCTTCAGAAGAGTTGGTGTTGAACACCACTGGGTCACTGTATCTGTTGAACACCACTGGGTCACTGTATCAGTATAGTGTACAACGTGATGTTGCACAAGCAGAAAAATGTGATGGCTATAACACTGAGGGAGGGTGCGTGAAAAAGGACCGCCCGAGTGAATGTATGAAAGAAATTGGTGGTGAATTTGAGCTCAAAAATGGTTCTTTTGAACCAAGCAATATCACTAATACTTCACGAGACCCCTACTGGTTTGGTAGTAGTAATACTGATTGTAAGGCTACTTGTTGGCAAAACTGTGACTGCCTTGGATTCGACTTCCCAATATCTGATAATCACACTACTGGCTGCCGATTTTGGAGTGTAGACTGTCGGTTCGTTGAAAACATCACCGGCTCGGGTACTACAAATGGGAGTTTTGTTTTGCCAAGAAAATCAAGCACGCCAACAAAATCTTCATCTCAAAATTTTATCGGTAACTCTGGACTCTAGCTACGCACATATATTCATTCTTCTCAAGATACATGTCATGTAGAAACAAATGAAAAACTTCAACTACAAATTTAACAATTCCTTCGGTTTAGGATGTCGGCTGTTCGGTAATCATATTCGTTTGTAGTTTTTTGTTTTCATTTTTTTGTGCTAGTCATTTATTTGTTTAATTCAATTAGGTAGACTTGTTTAACTGACAAATCAACAAGCTGATGTATATGTATATTTCATTATCATATATTTTTTTATTTTAGCTCATACTAGATTCAAGAATATGTATATATGGAGAAACAGGGCTAATTAATATTCTGCATGCAGCACGTAAGCTATGGATTGTCATTGCTATTCCCACTGCTCTACTTGTAG